TAAAAAAAAAAAAAAAAAAAAAAAAAAAAAAGTAAAATAAAAAATACGAATAAAATAAAAAAAAAAAAAGTAAATAATTAAATAATTAAAAAAAAATAATAATAATAATAAAATAAAGAAAAGAAAAAATTATATATTTTAACAATTATCTAATGTTTATATTATATTTTATTTAAGATATTATATTTTGTACTTTTTTAAATATTAACCGCCATTTTAAAAATATATAATTATAGTATCATATTAAATTTAAAATGATTTAATTTATACCCTCTTATTTATTTCTTCTTTTTCTCATTTTATATATATATATATATATTATTTAGTTATCAACTCATTTCATTTTATATGTAATTACAAACTTATATGTTAGTTATTTTCACTTAAATAATTGTTATGTGTATCAAAATATATATATACATTTTTTTTTTTTTCTTTTAATTTAATATATAAAAAGTATGAGTATTAATGATTTTTTCTTTTTTTTTTTTTTTTTTTTTTTTTTTTTTTTTTTTTTTTTTTTTTTTTTTTTACATTTAATTTTATCTTTTTGTTTACTCATTTATTTTTCCATTATACATAGTACCAATTTAAATGTGTATTATTATATTTTATTAATTTGTTTTCTAAGACCTTATTAGTGAATTTTAAAAAAAAAAAAAAAAAAAAGAAATTAACTTTCATATGAATATTAATATACATATATGAATACTGTAAATATAAATAATGTAAATCACATTTTTTCAAATTTCCCCTTTTAATTTATTTTTTCATTTTCTCCATTTTAAGTGTTTTGTATTCAATTCATCATTTGGTTTTAAAAGCCTCCACACTTGAGGTTTTAATAAATGTAATTTCTTTTCATATTTATTTAAAATATTTTTATTACTTTTTCTATCTAAATAAGTTAATTTATTTGTCACACCGGAATAATTGCAAAGAGAATAACCTGCTTTTAAAATGTGTACTAATTTTGTTAAAGAAATAATAGATGGTGTTATAAAGCTTAATGATTTCATAAATGCTTGTTCATTAAAGTTCCCATCTTTCTTTAATTTTTCTAAATATATTTCTAAGGACTTTTCATTATTTAAAGCTGTTGTATTAAATGGATAAATTAATGGATATGCTAATCTACTTTGTAATAAATTTATAAGCATATTAACACGAGTAATTAGAAGTAATAGCCTTTTTTCTTTATTTAGTTTATTCATCTTCTTTCTATTTCAATTAAATTTTTCTATTAAAAAAAAAAAAAAAAATTCAAAAACCCCAATTTTATGATTTATATATACATGGGATTTTAGTATTATTTTATTTTATTGATAAAAAGTATAATATTTGTATTTTTGTAATACGAAATTAAAAACTTTAGTAATAAAAAAAATATTACATAAAAAATAAAAGATAATTTTTTTTTGATTCTTTCAAATAAAATAAATACTTAAAACTTTAGTAAAAATTTAATTTTTTAAAGTATCACGTTTAACAAATTAATAATTATAATAATGATAAATTATTATTAAAGTAGTTATTATATTTCAGATATAATTTCCTATATTATTGTTTAATAAATTAAAAAAAAAAAATTCAATTTTTTTTTTTTTTTTTTTTAATAAAATTTATATTAATGAATAATTATTGTAGATTATTCATGTAATTATATATATTACAAATGTTTTTTAATTAGTTTTCATTTAAAATATACTTAGTCATTTCACATAAAAGGAAAAAAAAAAATTTTATTTCCATATTTAAATAGGATTAAAGAAATTTTCAAAAATTATTCCACAAAGATTTTAATTTCACAGAAAACTTCAAAAATGTAATTTTTTTCATCCTCTTTATTTTTAATATTATTTTAAATTCATAGGAAACTGTTTATAATTGTTGTGTTATTTTTTACGTTAAACATAACTTCATTTTGAATAGAAAATAATTTTATTGTGGCATAAAAATATTTTTTAAATTATAAAAATATTATTAAGTGATATGCTCGCGTTTAATTTACTAGAAAAATTTTAACTTAAATATATAATGCAAAATAAAGCTTTATAATAACTACATATATATATACCATCTTATTAATTTTCTTTTATAACATTTGTTTAACAAGTATCCTATTTATATGATTTGCATTTAGCTCATTTATTTTTTATTTTAAGAATCTTTATTTTTATATATTTATCAAAGTATGTATATTAATTCTATATTTATTAAATATATATCTGTAAATTTTTTTACTTACGTAAATTTCCTAATTCTCTGAGTGATTTTAAATCATCTTCTGATACACCACTATATAGTTTACTACCTAAATGGTTTTCTTCTCTTTTTAAAATGTGTAATAATGATTTAGCAGATTCTCTTATTTTTGAATAGGCTGCAGATGTTTCCTTAATTGTTCTATCATATTCTAAACGTGTTTGCGATTTTTTTGCTATACTATGACAAACTTTCTGTAATTTTTCATTTAACATGGCTATCTCCTTCTGCATTCTTTCCTTATCTTCTTCCTCATGTAGATTAAAAACAGAATATATACATAACATAAAATATAAAGAAAATAAATATTATAAAAATAACAAAATAAGATAAAACAAAAATGTATTAAAATCTTGATTTTTGTATTATATCAACTATTTATATAATTTCTTTTTTTTTTTTTTTTTTTTTTATCTTTCTACCTTTAAAATTTGCTCATGAATTTCCTGTCTTTTTATCCTTAATATTTCAATACATTTAGATAATTCATCTTCATTTTTTATTAAAGGTATTGGTTTCTCATGATCCATTTTTAAATGAAAATATTTTAGATAAAAAAACTCACTTACAAAGGATATATATATTAATTATAATTGTTTTGAAATTAATTCATAATTTACGATCAATTTCTTAAGCTTGCTAAAATAATTTTTTATTATAAAAAAGAAAAGAAGTCATTATTTTGTAGATGTTAATACTGTTGTAAAATATAAAATAGAAAAAAAAAATTTTTTTAAATTAAATAATTACACTTATTCAACATTTTAAAGTATTGTTTTTTTCATTTTTTTCATTAAACCAAAATATATGAATATAAAAATAAAAAACTATGTAAAAATGAATATTAAAAGGAAAGAAAAAGTAAATAGAGTAAATAACAAAACACTTATCTCAATTTAAAATATACATTTGCTTGTTCATAACTTTTTTTTTTTTTTTTTTTTTTTACAACATATAAATACATGCACCACAGCACAATTTATTGTAAATTTAAAATATTGTTTAAATAAATAAAATATGTTGATTTAATAAGAATATATATATATAAATATATGTAATCATTCAAATATATATTTATATATATATATATTTATTTATTTATTTAAAACAATATAATTATTAACAATACATTAATTTTAACCATTATTTATTAGTGAAACTAGGAAATCATATAGTAAATATACTTAATATTTTATTAACACGTAAAATGATGAGCATTTTTTTTTTTTTTTTTTTTTTTTTTTTTTTTTAACACAACTAAAAATATTACAAAGGAATAATAATTATAATTTATTCTATAAGTTATTTAAAATATTATGAGACAAATTATATAGGTATATATCCTATATCAAATAGAATAAAAAAGTTATGTTTAAAAACATTTTTTATAAATTTTATTTAATAATTTAAAAGGAAATTTGAAGTATAAAAATGGAAAATATATTTTATTTATTATATTCATAATAAAATATTTAAAAAAAAAAAAATTTATTTTAAAACAAATCTTACTATTATATTAAAAAAAAATATATATATATAACGTTAATAATACTTTTTATATAAGTAAAAATTATAAATTAAAAAGAAAAAAGGAAAAAAATCCTTATTTTCCTTTTTTGTCATTTATTTTTTTAGTAAAAAAAGTATTGACATGGCCCATTACACTTATTATATGATCAGTTAAATTATTATTACTCATTAATATCTCAACACTTTCATCATTGATTTTAATTTTATCAGCTGATGCTATCTTAGAAGAACATTCAAAAATCTTTTCATTATTAAGAAAAGTAGTAGATTTTACTAAATAATCCTTTTTTTCATTATTATTTTCATTAATATTATCAGAATCATTCGTAATGTTCATCTTACTATTATTTTAAAAATCCTAATAAATCTCTATTTTTCTTTAAATAAAAATACGTAATTATAATGTAATATTTTTATATCAACTTAATATTATTCCAAATAAATTTTTTTCAGATAAACTGTAAAAGTTGCACACTTATAAACAAAAATAAAAAATAAATCAAAAAAAAAAAAAATTTATTTTACTTCTATTTTCATATATAATTAAATAAAAATTTTCAAAAAATTAATCTTAATTTTAATTACTTCAATAAAACTTTTTTTTTGGAAAAAATAAATATATATAAACTAAAATATATTGTTTTTTCTACATTTGAGTATGAAATAAAAAGTAAAATTATTTTCTTTTGCTACACTAGTATGTTCTTTTGTTGGTAAAACTTCATTCTATATGTATGTAATTTTATAATTTAAAAAATGATTTTATTAATAATACAACTTTGTAAAAATTTTATGAATATCAATAATATTAGGATGTTATAAAAAACATATCAATAATCTTAGTTTTTATTTCTTTTTTCTTTTTTTTTTATTTAAAAGAACATCTTTTCCAAATATATATATTATTTTATCATAATTCCCTATTATTTTATTTTTTTTTTAAATATCTTAAAAATAATTATTTAATCCTTTTAATTATATTTTTTTAATGTTCATAATTTACATTATTCAACTTCTCTATAAGTATTATAAATATTATTTATATGCAAATATATATGAATTTGTAAATATATTTTTGTAGTTATTAAACTTTTTAATTAAAAATTTCTTTATAAAGAATTAAATATGCATCTCTTATAAATAAAAAAAAAAAAAAAAAAAATGTACATAAAAAATTATTCAAGCATAAATTTTTATTTCAAAAATATATGAAAAAAGTAGTTTGTGAAAAACTATATATATATAACATGCGGTGATGAAAGTTATTTAAATTTATGGTGTACATTGCAAAAAAAAAAAAAAAAAAAAATTTTAAGTTTTTAAAAATTTTTTTAAAAAAATAAAAATTAAAGAAATGAATAATTAATTTTATACTATTATTTAAAAATTAACAGTATTTTAAGAAAATATTATTTTTTTATAAATTTTTTCATTTTGTAAATTTTCAAGCGTTTATATAAAATATTTATATATATATATATAAATAAAAATTAATTGAAAAAATTACTAAACATAAATAAATTTAATTTTTATATAATAAAATTTAATTTTTAATTTTATTTTTACGACAATGCAAATATTTGTAAAAACATTAACTGGAAAGACAATTACTCTTGACGTAGAGCCATCAGATACTATTGAAAATGTTAAGGCAAAAATTCAAGATAAAGAAGGAATTCCACCTGATCAACAAAGACTAATTTTTGCAGGAAAACAATTAGAAGATGGAAGAACATTATCAGATTATAATATTCAAAAGGAATCAACATTACATCTAGTAATATTTAAATGAATTTAATATTTAAAAATTTCAAATAAATTCATATATAAGTGCTACTTTCATTTCTTATTTGTACATAATCACCTTAATTATATATATATATATATATGGAGATACATATTTTTATGAATTATTCCTTATAAATACTTTTATTTATGAAATTGAAATTTATATATATTTAATTATTATAATAAATATAATATTTTATATCTTTTTATATAAATGTAATTTTAATTTTTTTGAGTACTGTATATATAGAAAATAATTAAAGAATTTAAATATATTTTTTTTTATTTTAATTTTTTTAAATACATAAAGCTCTTTTTTTTTTTTTTTTTTTTTTTGTTTGAATAATTATTTATATTTATACACAATTTATTTATAATTTGTTTACACTATTTATTTTTTTTTTCTTAACAGGTTTTAAGATTAAGAGGAGGAGCAATAGAACCATCTTTAGCCCAATTAGCACAAAAATATAACTGCCAAAAATTAATTTGCAGAAAATGTTATGCTCGTTTACATCCAAGAGCAACAAATTGTAGAAATAAAAAATGTGGAAGATCAAATCAACTAAGACCAAAGAAAAAGTTAAAGTAAATTGTAAGCTTCCAAAAATTAAAATGTTATTCAAACAAAAAAGCACTTTTTCTTTTTTTTATTTTAAATATTTTTACTTTTATTTAATTTTTTCTTTTTTTTTTTTCTATTATTTCATTTTTTTTTTTTCAATTATATTTATTGTATATTAATAAAAGTATGAAACCTTTTAAAAACTTATCTATGAAAGTTAAAATTCGTGTTTAGAAAAAAAAAAAAAAAAAACTTTATAAATAAAAAAATAAATAAACAAAAAAAAAATTATAATAATTTTTATCAATAATTTAAAAATATTAAAAAAAAAAAAAAAAAAAATACATAATTTAAAAAAGAATATTATCAATATAAGTTATTCTAATCTTTAAACAAATTAAAAAGATAAATAAACATTTTAATTAACATTATTCTTATTTATAAATTTTTATGAATAACATTTAATAAACAAGATTATTTTATGCTTTTTTTTTTTTTTTTTTTTTTTTAAATCCTTTTTACGTAAAATTATCTATATAAAAACAAAAAAAAGTTTTGGATTATTTTATTTTTTTATATTATTTATTATAATTATTTAAAAGATTGTAATTAAATACTTATATAAATAAAAAAGTAATGTATAATAAGTACAAATAATTTATTAATAACAAAACGTCAATTTTATTATTGCGGGAAAATTGGTGGTAAATTTGATGGTAGAGTTTTTATTTTTGATGGTTTATTTGTAACTTTTAAAAATGATTTAATTTTAAAAATATTATTACTCTTTTTATCATTAGACCCAATTCTTATACTACTGCTCTCTGAACTTTTGCAAGTATTATTTTCATTATTATCTATGTCATAAGAAAAGGGATTATTATTTTTTTTTTTTTCGGCGAAAATATTCATTTTATCTTCTTCTTCTAAAAAAAAGTTATATTCTATTGGTAATTTTCTTGTTTTTTTATCAAAGAACTTAAGTTTCTAAAAAATAAAACAAAAAAAAAAAAAAAAAAAATGTAT